AGTTAAAATTTTATCAAGCATCTCTAGTTTATCTTTTATAGCCTCATTTTTTATTTGCTTGATTTACTAGTTTTGGATGCAACTATATATATATATATATATATATATATATATATAATAAGGTCTCTGTCTTGTTCAGAAAAATAAAATAAATTCAGAACAACGTTTCATTAAATATATATATGATAAAAAACTAAAAGTAACTAAAGTAATATATATAAGCAACCGGCTGACCAGACAATAGCTATCACACACACTGACCACCGGGAGGCAGATGCCCAACACAGGAGCTGCCAAGCTGCAGTGACTTGGCAGCTGCAGTTCTTGAGAGACGCACCTGGAACCAGAGAGGAGGGAGCCCAATCCGGGGTGTGTCACCTGAGAACCGCCCTTTCGCAATCTGGGGCCCCTCAGGGGATGTCGGAGAGCTGGTTTCAGCCCAATCCCCGCAAGCCAGGCTGAGGGACCCCACAAGTACACAAATCCGTTAACTGGACTGCTAGTAGATTTATAATTCCTTATCACTCCATTTTGGTTTTTATACTTCAAGTTGCATATTTATAAATATCTTATTGTGGATTTTTCCTTTTCTTAATATGTACTGTTGCATTTTATCGTTATTAAAGACTTTGGTCTTCCATCTGTCCGATAATAACCTACATCACTTTTCTTTTTCCATTTCTGGGCATTTTTGGTATCTCTATAGAGAATATATAAATGATTTTGTTTTTCATTCAAATTGCTGTCTCTGTGTCTTTTAATAAGATCTACCCATTTATACCCATTGTGAACTACACATATATTTAGAACTATTTCTACTTCTTTTTTCTAATTATCTTTCCTTTGCTTTATCATTATTATTTATTATTATTATTATTAACACTTTTTTAAGCTTTCCTGTCTTCAATATTCTTTTTTCCCTTCTTCTGCTGGTTTGGAAACTGTACACTGTACTTCTATTACTTTAGTTACTTTTAAATTTTTTTAAAATATATATTTTATTGATTTTTACAGAGAGGAAGTGAGAGAGACAGAGAGCTAGAAACGTTGATGAGACCAGCTGCCTCTTGCACACCCCCTACTGGGGATGTGCCCACAACCAATGTAAATGCCCCTCACCGGAATCGAACCTGGGACCTTTCAGTCCGCAGACCAACGCTCTACCACTGAGCCAAACCGGTTTCGGCTACTTTAGTTACTTTTAGTTTTTTATCATATATATATTTAATGAAACGTTGTTCTGAATTTATTTTATTTTTCTGAACAAGACAGAGACCTTATTATATCTTCCCACTGAACAAAACCCCTCCTATATGTATAAAAAAAATGGGTATAACCTATTTTTTGTTACTCTCTGGAACTATATTGTTCAATTTGGTAGCCATTAGCCACATGTGACTTTTCAGTTCTTGGTATGTAGCCAGTCTGAAATGATGTACCCTAAATATACAATATGCCCTGGATTTTGCATGAAAAAAAAAATATATATATAAAACATCTCAATACATTTTATACTGATTACATGTTGAAATAATAGTTTAAACATACTGGGTTATCTAAAATGTATTATTAAAATTTAATTTTAAAGATTTCTTTTTTAATGCAACTAGAAAATTACTTAAGGGACCAGAATTAGAACTTTAATTTAATTTTTAAAATATATTTTATTAATTTTTTACAGAGAGGAAGAGAGAGGGATAGAGAGCTAGATACATCAATGAGAGAGAAACATCAATGAGCTGCCTCCTGCACACCCCTCCACCAGGGATGTGCTCACAACCAACGTACATGCCCTTGACCGGAATTGAACCTGGGACCTTTCAGTCCGCAGACTGACGTTCTATCCACTGAGCCAAACTGGTTTCAGCAAGAACTTGAATTTTATTTTAAATGTACCCCCTAAAAAGCCCCTAATTATATTTCTGCTAATAATAATTAATATCATTTATCATTTCACCTAATTAAAATTCTTCACTCTAAAACAATGGTTCTCAACCGTTCTAATGCCGTGACCCTTTAATATAGTTCCTCATGTTGTGGGGACCCCCCAACCATAAAATTATTTTCGTTGCTACTTCATAACTGCAGGTTTGCTACTGTTATGAATGGTAACGTAAATATTTGTGTTTTCCGATGGTCTTATAAAAAACTAAAAGTAGCAGGGTCACCTAAGAACATTGGAAAACATAGGTATCTTCATTACCATTCATAACAGTAGCAAAATTACAATTATGAAATAGCAACGAAAATAATTTTATGGTTGGGGGTCACCACAACATGAGGAACTGTATTAAAGCATTGCAGTATTAGAAAGGTTGACAAACACTACTCTAACATAACAGTTTACCTGGATATGACATGGTATTGCCTTAGTATTTTTTAAGGTTTTCCATTTCTTCCTAGCATCAATTGTTGCTGATAAGAAACCTTCTGTTAGCTTATCATACCTCTGTAGGTTATCTGGCTTCTAACTTCGGTGACTTTTATGATGCTCTCTTTATCTTTGATATTCTAGTTTCACTACAACCTATCTAGATGTGAATTTTTTTTCTTTAACCTACTTGATATTCTAGATTTTACTCTTGATGGAAGGACTCAGGTCCCTCTTCAATGCTAAGAATTACTTGTCTCTGTGCCCCTCTGTCTTCAAAAATTAGTTCTCCACCGCAGAAACCGGTTTGGCTAAGTGGATAGAGCGTTGGCCTGCGGACTGAAAGGTCCTGGGTTCGATTCCGGTCAAGGGCACGTACCTTGGTTGTGGCACACCCCCAGTGGGGGATATGCAGGAGGCAGCTGGTCAATGTTTCTCTATCATCAATGTTTCTAACTCTCTATCCCTCTCAATTCCTCTCTGTGTAAAATAAATAAAATATATATATTTTTTAAAATTAGTTCTCCACCAATCTCTGCATCTTCTCTCTTTTTTTGTAATTCTTATATATTTATTGGAGTCTTTCAACTAATCTTCTATATCTTTTAACTATTCTTTCATATTTGTATCTTTTTCCTGTGTTCTAGAAGAAATTTTTAGTACTATTTTCCAACCCATTAATTCTATCACCAATGGTGTAAACTTTAATTTTACACTGTAAAGGGTAAATTTATCTCATCTACTGTGTTTTTATATACCAACTACAAAGAATTCTAATTGGTTCATTTCCACATTAACCTGTTTTTGTTTCATTCTGTTTCAAGAAAGTACCCCTCAACTTATTTCTTTGAGCATCCTAAAAATGCTTTAAAGTTCCTTCTAATCAATGGAATACTATGCAGCCGTTAAAAAGAATAATATCACCTCATGGATACTAATATGAAATGATTTCTAAACATGTTTTGAAGTGAAAACGCCAAAGTACATAATAGTATGTATACAATGCTACCATTTATATAAAAGTGTATGCATATATTTATGTATGAGTATGTATATGCTTGCATATGGACAAACTATCTCAGAAAAGATAGCAATAAACTGGTAATAGTGGTTGCCTCTGGGGAGGGGAATTGGGTGGCCAGGGGACAGAGGTGGGAGATAGACTTACTTTTCACTGTTTACCCTTTTGTACCTTTGAATTTTGTACCTCTTGCATGTATTACCTAGTCAAAAAAAATAAAAATAAATAAAATAATTTATTTTTTAAAATAAAAGTCTTTGTTGGACTACTCCATAAATTAATTTCATCCAGAGAAAATGCCTGTTAGTTGCTGATTTTGTTATTATATTAATATTAGATGTCTTCATGAGTTTTGCGATTTGGGTTGTAGGCACATTTTGAGTAGTAAAAGGTTTTTGTTTTTGTTTTGTTTTTCTCTCTCCACCTATTTGATAGTTTTTAGTTGGCCCCACTTTGCATTACTGGACCCCTAAATGACAACTAGACCTTATAATAATATTAAGACCTGCAGTTTCATGATGATATTGAAGCTATCACATATATTCAATCACTGACTCAATAATGACTTAATCAATTCCTGGTCATAAGTCTGTGTCTTTATCAACTAAAACTATAGCCCCAGTAGTTAACAGCTTTTTCCTTTTTTCATCCTTTCACAAATGAGATATACATTCCAACAAAACCCCTGGCTTCATGTAGTGATTCTGGTTTCCATCTCACATGAAGCACTTCTAGCACTTTTTTGTGTTCAGTTTCTGGCCCACAAAGATATTTATTGTTTCACAGCCTGGGTATATCTTTTGTGGTACTTATTTTTTTGTTCTTAGATGTGTTTAGAGCATAGATGTTACATTAAAACTCAGTAGGTCATCTTGACTAGAAGTAATTTCCACAGTTTTGTTTTTTTAATTAAAAGTAATAATTAAAAAAGTAATATAATCTCTACATAAAGTTTATAAAATTGCTCATAATCCATTCTAACTCATCTACTGTTAGCATTTTAAAATATTTCCTTCTAATCTTTTTTTTCCTGCATCATGTCACATTTGTAGTTTATATCATGATTTTAATCTATATTATCCCAAGTATTTATATATGTTGATATGTAGTCTTTGGGACCATCATTTTAATGACTGCATATTAATCCACCTGTTCAACTGTTATCTATTTCCCACATTACTGAGAATTTAAGAAGCTTCCAACAGTCCTATAAAGAAGTTCTCTGTGCATATGTGCCTTTTCCCCTCAATAGTTTGAATTTGGGAGCTGGTGGTGAAACAAGCTAAGTAACAGGATTGCCAAAGCCTAAAGGCAATACAAGACTATTATCATACTAGATGAGGTTCATAATGATGATTCTAATACATGAAGAGAAAAAGAAAATCATGTGGAAGTGAAAAATGTATTTCAGAAAGATTCTAATCCAAAACAGTTAACAATAAGTTTTATAATTAAAGGGATAAATTTCACAAGGGATAAAATTCACAACTCACAAATGTGTACTGTATGTCTAGCACTACCGACAAAGCATTACACATTTTCATGAACTTCCAAAACAGAATATTTTTGGTGACAATAATAAAGTTCATTTTTTACTATAATACTAACCTGATATTATTTACGCAGTCTTCATGGGCTTCAGAAAGTGTTTTTATGTGCTTAGATGATATAGGGTCAAAAAGCAGAACTTCAGTCTGTTCACAAGCAACCGTCAGCACTGACCTGAAAGCAAGTGACACATTTCTTTTTAGTTTTCTAGTATTCTCTGGTTATTTATATTTATTTATAATTATGCAAACTATAAGTGAGTAACTTCTTTTTGCCCATGTTAGTAGGAAATAGTTAAAATACTAATGATATCCACTATTGGCACTAGTAGGAAATGGTCCTCTTTATATTATGGTGGAATACAAACTGGTATAGTTTATGTTTGAGGAGTATAAGTATCAAGTTTCAAATGTGCATATATTTTGACTCAGCAATTTTTTTTCTGGGCACTTATCTAGACACATAATAATTCATAAATACAAGGAATATATGCTTCATTGTAAGGAGAAATTGAAAGAAACCTAAATGTACATGAAAGAAGGATGGTTGATTTTTAAAAGAGATAGTTTTATGTGGTTACGATATGAAAGAACTCCAAAACATATTTTTAAATGAGAAAAGCTGAAATGAAGCAACGTAGAGAGAAAATCTTATACAATAAAATTTTGTATTTATCAGTATTAAAATGCACTGAAAAAGTATATATCCTATCAGTTAGACATATATAGTCTTATCTTTTCCTTTTTTTTTTAGTATTGTGTCTATTTTCAAAACTCTTCCCTATTACAAAGTTATATTTTCTTTTTTTAATATATTTTATTGATTTTTTCACAGAGAGGAAGGGAGAGAGACGGAGAGCTATTAGGAATAGAAACATTGATGAGAGAGAAACATCGACCAGCTGCCTCTTGCACACCCCCTACCGGGGTTGTCCCCGCAACCAACGTACATGCCCTTGACTGGAATCGAACCTGGGACCTTTCAGTCCACAGACCGACGCTCTACCGCTGAGCCAAACCAGTTTCGGCTACAAAGTTATATTTTCATAAACCTTTTACAAGCCTCATTTTGATTTCTAAAAATCCATTGTCTTTTATTGATTTTGGTTAAGTCTAGTTTTCTGTGGGCACTGCTCTTTCAGATGCAGATCTAGCAAATAAAATCATGAGTCTTTGAAACTACAGTCTCCTCAATTTATTGTTCCAATAACAAGTGGAATTTTGTACATTTAAGCTGAAAGTGCAAAAGATAGAATATCAAATAGACAAACTTTTGTATTCAGAAAAAGCTTTTTAGATAAAGTTGGAGAGGGAAAAATTCAAACTGTCCCCATATTTAGTAATCATAAAATTATCCTTCAAAGGGCATCTGCATAAACACCATTTTTTTTTTTAGTGGACTTCAAATATTTACTATATCTGATGGACTTTTGTGCCAATTGATCATCATGAGTAAGAAGTATTCAAATTAATGTATATAATTTTAGATGGTGTATAAACATTTCTTTTTGTTAGTCAGAAGAGACATGGAATGGACTTTTCTTCTTGTATAACAGGAAATGAATCAATAACCTTAATCATTATAAATAGGAGATCTATAAAACATTGTTTTGTTTTAATCCAATTATATTTTTGTACATGGCATGAGTTGTAACTTTGGTCCAGGCTTGTGTTGGAGGCAACCAATCTATGTCTCTCTGTTACATTGATGTTTCTTTCTTTCTGTCTCTCCCTCTCCCTTTCAGTCTTTCTAAAAATTAATGGAAAAATATCCTGAGGTGAGGATTAACAAAACAAATGTGTATATATTTTGTCCCCATATCAAAGCCTACGCTTTTCTCATTGTTTGAAATCCCATCATTATCATATACCGTATTTTTCGGACCATAAGACGCTCCGGACCATAAGACACACCAGTTTTTAGAGAAGGGAAATGAAGAAAAGAAGATTCTGAAACAAATAGTGTCCTAAAATATTTTATGTGCATTAAAACCCAACATCACAGTCATAAACACATGTAATCAACCCTGTAAAGTAAACAGCAGCATTTAGAACCATTTTAGAGCCGGGCAAGCACACAGAGACCACACAGAGCCGGGCAAGTAAAAAAACTTTTTTTTTAAAGTATATGTGTAGGCTATATTTGGACCATAAGACGCAGGGACTTTCCCCCCCCACTTCTGGGGGGAAAAAAGTGCGTCTTATGGTCCGAAAAATACGGTATGTTTTGTTTTTGTACTCTATGTTGTATTCTATACAACATTACCACACTATTTTAATTTCTAAAAGTATATTTGATATGTGGCAAGGTAAGATACCTTCACTGCTTTATAAATTTTTTTCAGGGGCTAATATTATGCTTTCTCTTCCAAGTGAATTTTAGATATAGTATATCAAGTCCTACTAAGACATCTTATTGGTATTTTTATTGAGATGCACTGACTTTGTTGATAATATATCTACAAACAATTGTTCTTTTCTTTTTTATTACCTTTTTTCCCTTGCGGCATTGGCTAGGACTTTCAGTACAATATTGAATAGAAATGTTAATTTAGCAGCCACTCTTGTCTGTTCCTTTCGATCTTCAAGAATGTATTCCCCATTTCATCATTAAATACAATGCATTCTATAGAGGTTTTTTTTGTCATTGAAGCTACCAAATTCCTATTATTTAGATTAAGGAAGTTCTCTTATACAACAAATTTGCTAAGTTTCTTTTTCATTAAAATATGTTAAACTGTATGAAACATTTCCAATATTAATTGAAATTCTCTCGTTATATTTTTCCTTTAAGATGTTAATGTAGTGATTTACTTTATTTTCTAATAAAAGTCAAACCAAATGAAAAGTCAAACCAACTTTTCATTTCTATCATATTGCTAGATTTATTTGGCTACAATGGAGAGCTCACATCTCTGGCTTCCCTCCTTTTGCAGTTCTTGGTCCTACAATTTCCTCATTGTCTCAAGCCTTCCAAATAAGGTTTTTATATCTTACATTAAATATTTATATTTTCTCTAGTCTTTAAAATTATTCTCAGAGGGTTGGTCCAAACCATGTATTTTACTACTTTTGGAAAACTACAAAGTCTACCTTTTGCATCTGAGGTCATTGCCCACCCCCCTCCCCCCACCTTTCTTCCTTCCTTTCTTCCTTCCTTCCTTCCTTCCTTCCTTCCTTCCTTCCTTCCTTCCTCCCTTCCTTCCTCCCTCCCTTCCTTTCTTAAATATATTATTGAATTCAGAGAAGAAGGGATAGGGAGAGATAAAAACATCTATGATGAAAGAGAATCATTGATTGATGCATCTTGCACACCCCCTACTGAGGATCAAGCCCGCAACCTGGGCATGTGCCCTTGACTGGAATTGAACCCAGGACCTTCAGTCTGAAAGCCGACGCTCTCTCCACTGACCCAAACCAGGGAGGGCTCATTTTTAATATTGTATATTTGGGCATTCTCTTGATTGATGAGTATTTTTCCATTGTATTTATTTTTTCAAAGACACATTTTTCTTTCAATTGGGTATTGCTATGGAATTTTAAAATTTCACTAATTCATCCTGGCTTGGCTAGAGTGTCATCCCGATACACCAAGGTTTCGGGTTCAATCCCTCGTCAGGACATTTATAAAAATCAACCAATGAATGCAAAATAAGTGGAACAAATCTGTTTTTCTCTCTTTCAAAAATAAAATCAAAACAAAATTTCACTAATTCTATTTTTTAGAATTTTCTTCTTTCTTCTGCAAAGATTTACTTTGCTGTTATTTGCAGATAACTATTCTTTTTCTTCAGATGGACACTTAGCTCATTAATTTTCCCTGTCTTCCTTTCCAGTTTATTAAAGACTATAATTTTTCTATGACGTACTATTTTACTTACATATAACCTTACAAATTTTGAGACATGTGGTACTTCTATCATCATTTAGTTATAATTTCCACTGTTATTTCTGCTCTAAGCCCATTGTGTGCCCTGAGTTATTTATAAATGTTTCTTAACTTTAAAATACATGAGTTTTTTAATAGTTATTTTATTAATTTATAGCAATCACATTGTACTAGAAAAACTGTACTCTAAAATAAACTTTTGAAATATGTGGGCTTAAAAGTATAAATTTTATAAATTTCTTTTGTGTTTTAAAAAACAAGCATAAAGTAACATATAGTCAGTCAAGTATGATACTTTAAAAAGTTAAACATTTATTAGTATAAATTAACATGAATAAAATTAAAATAATAATCCTATAGATTATAAAAATGCTTGCCAAAATGGTATTAGTTGTAACTCAAATTATTCAACAAATTATTCTAGTAACTTCCAATCATTTATTAATATTTGGAAATTGTAGCCACAATCTTGTTTGATCCAGATGCCCTTGTCTGAACCATGGATATAGGAAATTGCATAAAGCCCTTCTAAGAATTTCCCTATTAAATAGGTAGTCATTATGTAACTTGTAGTCTTGATAAGTTAAAAAAAATAATTATTAACAGAATTGTACATTCTTAACTTTTGTTGAACTAAGTGTATTTTTAATGCTTGCTGTTAGTTTTCTATATTCAATATGTATTCATATTAATAACTAAGTGACAAAAGTAATTTATTGATATATCATATTTAATTGATTCAAATCTAATCCCTCAGCCCAGATGAGAGGTAATATAATATGGCAGTTATGAGTAGAAGTCAGGATAGAAATCCTTCGTACATGATAATCTTTTTGCTTCTCAGTTCCCTCAACTAAATGTTTCTGGTACAGAGAAGAGTTAGGTTGGCAGTCATTTTCATTAATAAAATGAGTGTTATTAATACCATGGTGGGCTGGCATTCAGTGGGTTTTGGCAAACTTATCTCAATAAATAATGGCAAAATGCAATAGGAATGATAAAATTAGGGATCTGCATCCCAAGAGTCATTTATCCATAAACCATTCCCTTAGGCCTCATTCCTCTATTATAGATTTTATCCTGCCATAGAAGTACACACTATGCCAAGAGTTAATATGCTTGGATAGTACCTGAAGTAGTAGTATTACTCTCATTAGACTGCCCTCTTCATTTCTCCCCAGAGTATGCAGTTCTCACAAAAGACCATATGAAAATGGGAAAGTCGCGGAATCCGGTTTGGCTCAGTGGTAGAGCGTCGGTCTGCGGACTGAAGAGTCCCAGGTTCGATTCCGGTCAGGGGCATGTACATTGGTTGTGGGCACATCTCCGGTAGGGGGTGTGCAGGAGGCAGCTGGTCGATGTTTCTCTCTCATCGACAGTTCTAGCTCTCTATCTCTCTCCATTCCTCTCTGTAAAAAATCATAAAAAAAGAAAAGAAAAAGAAAAAAGAAAATGGGAAAGTGCTTGATAAAGGCAGGCAGCCCCAAAGGTCCCAGGTTCGATTCCGGTCAAGGGCATGTACCTTAGTAGTGAACACATCCCCAGTGGGGGGTGTGCAGGAGGCAGCTGATCGATATTTCTAACCCTCTATCCCTCTCCCTTCCTCTCTGTAAAAAAAAAAAATCAATAAAAAAAATTTTTTTTTTTAAAGATATACTTTGAAAATTATATCCAGGCCAAGCATGAAATATTCCATCAGCCAGGAAAAGGCTGGGCCCCCTGAACAGAAGCAGGTAGCCCAGCCTGGGAGCTTCACCAATGTCCTACATCGTCAGGCACCACTGGGCATCTTCCTGGGGCAAAGGAACGCGCGCTGGTCCCCTCGGACCGGCCAGGCACAGGGCACAGGGCACCTGCAAGCTGCCGCCCCCTGACACCAGCTTAAAGGAGACAAACGCAGGCCTAGGGTGACAGGGACAGGACGGGCAGCTATTCCGTGTATTTCTACTGAACACCTACTGTGTGAACGTCTACCTAGCTCTGGGCCCGCATTTCTCCAACCCCGAGCCGGGCCTTCCTGCGGGGGAGAGACGGACGAGGCCGCCTCAAAGTGCCAGGCCGCGGTGCCCAACCCCCGAGGGCCCGCTTACCCGTCGGGCGAGTACTCGAGGTTGAAGACGGCCCCGTGGGTGCGGGTGCTGAGGTACACGGAGTCCGCGGGGTGGATGGAGCCATAGAGGCTGGTCATGGTGCGGAAGTTGTCCCGCGCCGGGTCCACGAACAGCCCGCGGCCCAGGCTGCGCTCCCGCAGCCACCCGAACAGCCGGGCGCCCGGGCCGCCCGGGCCGGCGCCGGCCCCGCAGTCCGGCCCCGACCGCCGGCGCGGCGGGGAGAGCGGGGACCTCGGCTTTCCCGGGGCCGGGGCCACGGGGGACTTCGGGGCTCCCGCCAGCCAGGGCTCGCCGGCGCGCGCGGCGGGGGACGGCGGCGAGGGGCTGCGGACGGAGCGAGGGCTCCTGGAGGGCGACAGGGGAGGAGGGGCTGCGTCAGCCCCGGGCGGCGGCGGCGCCGAGAGGGGCGCAGGGAGCGGCCCGGCGGCTGCCGCCGGCTCCCCGAGCGGGGCTGGCTCCTCAGTGCCGGCTCCGGCCATCCGGTCCCCTCCGGGGCTACCGGGCCCGCAGGGAAACATGACCGACGCGCCCGCCCGCGGCTCCGGGCCGCTACCCCGCCGGCCTACAGCTCTGCGCTCCCGCTCCCGCCGCCGCCACTTCCGGCGCGCGCAGGCCTAACCCCGCCGGCTGGGAAACCCGCGCCGCCGCTCGGCCGCCGGGGACCGCGATCGGGGGAGCACCGGCCGGCCGAGGCAGGAAGGCGGCGACGAGGTGTTTTGGGGGGCTGGATCGGGACCGTTAGCTTCTGGCCCCGGAGGGCCACGGTGGGTGTGTAGTTGTCGGTGACGGTGGTCCTGACCAGTCTGAGAGGCTGCGCATGATTGTGTTCTGTGATCCCCGCTGCACCCCGAGGCCAGCGAGGGGAAGACGTTACCAACGCGTGTGAGGGGTACACACACACACTGCCTGCTCAGCCTGGGAAAGGAACTTATGCACTAAAAAGCCCTGGCCTGCCGAGACTGGTTTGGCTCAGTGGATAGAGCGTCAGCCTGCGGACTGAAAGGTCCCGGGTTCGATTCCAGTCGGGGCCATGTACCTTGATTGCGGGCACATCCCCACTGGGGGGCGTGTGCAAGAGGCAACTGATTGATGTCTCTCTCTCATCGATTTTTCTAGCTCTCTATCTCTCTCTCTTCCTCTCTGTAAGAAAATATATATTGGAGGCATATTGGTGTCCTGAATAGCTGTCTGCCCAATTGCCAGCTCCTACACAGGCCAGATCTCCCTATGCAGGAAGGCGCCAGTGTATCCAGCCAGGAGGCAGAGGGAAGCTACCTTACCAGCAATGCAACCCAGTGTGCATCCTGTTGACATCTACCAGGGAGGGCCTGGAGGGTAGGACAGACACACGACTCCCCGCACCACTGCTGTTGTGATAAATGCATAGAACTCTGCAGAAAGGGGTTAACAAGGAGCTGGATGTTTCTGGGGAAGGCAAGTAGAGTCTTCAAGAAAGGAAAGCCTGAGGTACAAGGAAGGGTATATACAGGAACTGACAACTCTTCTAGGCCTTGATCAAGAGATGTGTTGTAGCCCTAACCGATTTGGCTCAGTGGATAGAGGGTCGGCCTGTGGACGCCAGGATCCCAGATTCGATTGATTCCAGTTGGGGGCATGTGCTTTGGTTGTGAGCACATCCCTAGTGGGGGGTGTTGCAGGAGGCAGCTGATCGATGTTTCTCTCTCTATATTCCTCTTCCTTCCTCTCTGTAAAAAAATCAATGAAAAAAAATATTTTTTTTTTTTAAAAAAAGAGAGATGTGTTGTAGAAAGCTCACATTTGGTGACTGAAGGAAAACGTGAAGGATCTTTGTTGAAAGATCTATCCAGCCAAGACCGGTTTGGCTCAATGGATAGAGCATTGGCTTGGGGACTGAAAGGTCCCGGGTTCGATTCCGGTCAAGGGCATGTACCTTGGTTGTGGGCATATTCCCAGTAGGGGGTGTGCAAGAGTCAGCTGATCGATGTCTATCTCTCATCGATATTTCTAACTCTCTATCTCTCTCCCTTCCTCTCTGTACAAAATCAATAAAATATATTAAAAAAAAGAAAGAAAGAAAGATCTATCCATCCTGTGAGAACAGATCTGAAGGGTCTCTGGAGAACAGGAATGAAATTCAGAAAGGGCTGAACACTCAGCAGGTGCTCCCACCATAAACTTATTTAGCTCACCTGTCTATGAGTTGATTGAAAAAAGGACTAGAAGCAAGCGTCCTGAGTTCAGAGAAGATCAAGGCATCCATTTCTCTGGAGCTATTCTCCATCTTGTCCCCACAGGGCAGCAGGGGTAGAGGTCTGTCTTATCAATATATATAAAACCCTAATACACAAATAGATAAATGTAGGAACTGGTTGCTATAACATGCGCTTACCACCAGGGGGCGCACGGAAACATGACAGGCATAGGCAGCAGGTGGCAGAGCAAGGAATATGTTGGGCATTGGCTGGGCAGGGGCAGGATGGTGGAGCAGGTGAGCAAGGGCACCAGACCAAGGTGGGGTGCTGGTAACTGTCATCAGGGTGAGCCTCTCGTGGTTACTGAAAATTCTTTGCTCCTATGTGCCACCGTCCCACCCTGCACTCACACTTGCTGCCGGCACTGGCCCTGCTCGCATCTGTTGCTGGCACTGGAGCCCCTGCTCGCATCTGCTGCTGGCTCCTGGTGCAGGCTCTGATTACTCAGCGCCATCAGTGGTGCAAGCGGTGGCTGCTGGCCCCGATCACGCCTGAGGGCTTCTCCACCTCCCCCTGCTCCTGAGGGGCAGTCTGGTCAGCAGCTGCTACTTGCAATCACTGTGCACCATCAGCAGGTGAGAGCAGGGCCAGCGCCACCAGATCACAGAAGTGGGGCTGCCAGCAGACAGGATTGGGGGCCGCTGAAGGAGGGCCATGTGGGGGCGCAAAGGATGGGCAGACACCCACCCCAGTGCCTAACACAGCCTCACAGCCCACAGTTCCTTTCAAGGTGCATGAATTCATGCACTAGGCCCCTAGTTAATAATGTCCCTTAAGACTCACAACTTCTGGTTGCAACAAATACTTAATAGAGGGCTTCTGCTTGACCCACAAGTTATAGCCAACGGCTAAAATGTTATGGTATATTCACCAGAATTAACTTTTTTGACAAGTAAAATAAAACTCAATTTTAAAGATATGTATTCCAAGGTATTTAAGTTACAGTTTCAACAGGAAAACCAAAGCTCTGTGAGTGTTTGCATTGGCTCAATACAATCAAATTTCTCAGCTCAGGAAATTAAAAATGAGCACTCTGAGTAAGAACTGTTCACTGACCACTTAGAGAATCTAGAGGAGCCAAATGGGAACAAAAACATTTTGAAGGTTTATATGTATCTCTAGCAGTTGGATATTGAGAATGAGTCTTGAAAAGTGAAGGTAGCCACAAACTTAAGGCAGCAGTGGTTGAAACACACAAAACAAATTATTTAGTAATGCCAGAGTTTACTGTGTGCTTCTAGTTAGAATGTGAGTGCTCACTTATTCTGAATAATTTCTACTAAAACCTAGAATAAGTTACATAAAAATTAAAATAAGTGATCATGATTTTACAACCCACCAGTAAAAAAACAAAACAAACAAAAAAAACTTTGGAGGTTATCTAATTGAGAAAACACTAAAGTCAGAAAAACTTCAACTGTGTCTGTTTCTATTTACCCACTGCCTTTTTGTGAGCCTCTACATACAACATTTAAACAAAGAATTTATTTCAAATCACAAACTTCTGTGTAACACTATTTAAAAAAAATATATAGTTAATTGATTTGAGAGAGGAAAGGAGAGGGAGAGAGGAAAAAAAATCCAAGATGAGAGAGAATCATTGATCGTCTACCTCCTGCACACCCCACACTGGGGATCAAGCCTGCAACTCAGGCAGGTGCCCTAACCAGGAATCGAACCGTGATCTTCTAGTTCATTCGTTGATGCTCAACCACTGAGCCACGCTGGCTAGGCTATGAAACACTATTTTGAAAGAAAAAAAAATTTCAACCTAAGTTTCTGAAACTCACAGATATTAGTTCATGAGAAATGCCTAAAACATCCTCTGAATTCTTTGACCATGGTGCTCTTTTAGATCACAAGTAAGTCAACAATTAGTGAAGGTTTCCTATAGGCCCAGGTATCCCATGTCCTGGATACACCCAACACTTAGGATCTATCTCATCAGGCAAGCAGGAAGCAAATTTATTTACTTTTTTTCCCAACCCAATGACTGGATTTTTTTTTTTTAAACTACTTCCCAACTGATGTCTTCTAATGCAATATGCATTTTTTTTTTTAACTCAGGCTTTTATATTTAAGAGCAGCAGATTCACTCCTGATGTCTTTGACATCATTGCTTCTGTCCATCACATAGAATTCTTTGTTAGGAACCAGACTGACAAAATGAGCGTGGTGATTGGACATGGCATAAAAGGCTGAAATGATAGCTATGTCCCAGGCATCTTCTGGATTGAAGCTCTACACCTTGAGCTTTTTGAAATGGTCATATGTAATATCATTAGCTTAGGAAATAGCAAGTGCAAACACCCATCGCCTTTTCTCAAGCAGGGCGGTCAGACTTTCTCCAGTTCACATAGACCTGCAAGGAAGCACACAGAAGCAGGATCTCTGTTCATCACAATACAGCCAATAACACACAGGCCTAAAGAAATAGGCATTAATGAAAAAAATCTAAGAGTAAATGGGCAAAAATAAACTTTCCAAATGGATATCTTGATTAAGTCCAGTGGGTTGTAAACCTGGAACTCTGGCTTGGCATTAGCTTAGGGCACATACCTGGATTGCAGGTTTGACCCCTGGTGGGGGCATGCAGGGGAGGCAACTAATGGATGTTTCTCTTTGATACCTTTCTCTCTCCTTCCCCCCCTTCCCTCCCCCATATCCTCAGGTGAGGATAAAAAAAAAGATGGGAAAATATAGTGTGCCCCAGAGAAAGTAGCATCAAGGGTTTAACTGCAGTTACCGATTTTCCAAGCATGTAGAAATGTGCACATGATATGTGTGTATTTGTAGAAAACAAGTCTAGGGAGAAATACACACCAAAAGGTTAACATCCTTTTATCAGGTGTTACCTATTTTGTGCCAGACCCTAGGTTACAAATAATGAGAACTACCTGCCTGACAGCCTAGCAAGGGAGGCAAATGGGTATAAACCAAATACGTTTTATTTTATTTTTATTCTTCTCTGTGTGAATAGACTAGAGAATAGTGTGAATAGATGGCTTCTCCAGCAACAACCAAAAAGGCTTTATTTTGGAAAAAGAAAATATTTTCACTCCTGAGGGTAATGTCAGAAAGAAGGGCCAGCTCCGGAAACCCTCCTTCTCAGTTCACGTTGTTCTCACGGAACCTTTGGCGCAAGCGTCTAGTATCCAACGGGCGACCCGAGGCACCGGAAGTAGAGGCTCCGGGACCCATTCGAGTCGAGTGCTGCTACCCACCGGCGGCCCGCGGGCCGTCTGCGGGGACCCGGCTGCCCACGGGAACCACGCTTCATCGACTTAGGCTCGGGTCGGACAGCTAATGCCGGAAACGGAGAGCCTTCGGCGGGCTGCCGATTGGACGCCGCGCCGGAAGTGGGAACCGGAAACGGTGTTTGG